TTAAACTAACAGTAAGCAGGGGGGGGAAGTATTAGCTACATGAGTTAAGAAATCAGCATCTGCAATATTTTTTGTTTTGTAAAAGAATTCAGAAAAATGTAAAATATTTCTTGCAAATAAAACACTATCTATTTGTAGTTGTATCCAATAAAAAGCTCATTAGGGGGCAGTGTTTCCAATCAAATAAATAATTAAAATTTCAGTATGTAGTGGAAATAAGTACCTCAGCATGATTTAATTTATTATCATATTTGAGTACTACTTGAGTTACTTTCCTCCGTGTAACATAATATGATGGTGGATATGATGGATATAATATGAAGTGTTGACTTTTTTTTTTTTGTTTTTGTTTTGTTTTTGTTTTTGGTTTTTGTTAAAGTAGTCAAAAAATTCTGCCAGGGGAAAAAAAAGAAAAGAAAGAATGAAAGAAAGAAAAAAAAGTGCATAAATAAAGTAATCACAACCCCTCCTTATGTAGCACGATCTCCAGTCAAATGAATTAGTCAGATTTTAGCATGTAGTGGAAATAAGTAAAGTATGTTCTGAGGGGACCAGTCGGTATTTATCTGTGTGTCTGTGGGAACGTGGAGCTGCTGACTGAACAGGGAGGAGCTGCGAAACTTTGCTGCCAACAGTTGATTCAGATGTTTGCGCTGCTGGCTGCGTTTTAACAACGATTTCACTACGATCACACGAGAGCTGAAAACCCTGTCAGTCGGCTGCTTCGGGGACTTTTTTTTTATGAACCGTGAAGTAAATCAATAAATCTATTATAATGGGAAGCTGGAAGAGTCACGTGCGCGCTGGACTGCAGCAGAGAGACCACAAAGAGAAAGTCCCCTTCGTTGGCGTTTTCACCAGCTGTAAGACTCATATCTGTTTACTGATGATTGTTTTTCCTCCTTTTTATTCAGGCTGTCGTTGGTGTTATAGCTTAAATGCACCTGTTTGTTGTCTTTCAGTGTCTGAGCTGGAGGACAGATTTGAAATCCGCGCACAGATCTTGGAGGATGTTCAGTCTGACAGGTTAGAAACGTAGAAATATCACTTTCTGCTGCTCTGGATGTCCAAAGTTTGATTTTCTGATTGTTTTAATTTCAGTTTCGAAGTAGGTGAAGTTGGGAAAAACACCAGACTCCTTCAACTCCAGCTGAGAGAGAGTGAAAACCTGTCAGGAAAGGTAATCCAATGACAAACCCCACAGTTTAAACCTCCTACTATAGGAAAAGCTTTTAGATATTATTCAACTAGATAATTTGAATTGCCCCTCGGGGATAAATCAAGTTATTTGAGTTGAATAGATAAGTAGCAGTTTGCATATATTAGTCAGAAATCTCAGGCATATATGAGGCAATCTGAAAACGGCTTTACCTTTTCACCTCCTAAAATGATCATTATTATGGAAATTAGCAGCGAAACGTTTAGGAGGCCCATACTGGCCATCTCTGATTGGTTTGTGCCGCCTTTGACCTTTAACCTGATGAGTTCCTCCCACTATTCAATCAGTTCCTCCTTTGTTTGGCCTCCCCAGTTGTCTCAGACTGTCTCTGACCTGACCACCGTCCTGCATCTGAAGGAGGCCGAGCTACAGCACTGGCAGTCACGGTAACTGACAGCACGATGGTCAACTATAGATATAATCCTAAGAGACGACAAAACATTGACTGTGAGACTGTAGTTTAGCTGTGTTTTTCTCAAAAGCAGCTGAAATGTAATAGTCAGACTCTATTCTGTCCTCCTGATAGATATCATGGAGCAGGTTGCACAAATTAAGAACTTTGCAGCACATTTTGACATCTAGAAAAGCTATTTTTAGTTAAAGCCCCATCAAGATCTGTTACAAAATAAACTAAAGAATAATATACTGAGCGTGTTGCATGTAATCTATTAAATCCTATACATTATTTTTAACATACCACAATTAGAAGAAGTATTCGTTGTTGCAGCATCTACACAACAGAATGGATGTCAGGAAACAACCAAGTTCACACCATATTGGAAACAAGTAGATCAATAGTGAGGTCATAGGTCAGGAATCACAAACTAGCACCAAATGTGTCCTCCATTTGCATCCAGCAGTGCCACACATCTGAGTTAATTCTTCCTGAAGGGCTTGGAGAAGTCTGTAGACATTTTAGGGGATAACACTGTCGGACATGTGCATCCAGAAATTTTTTTTTTTTTTTTAGATGACAAATAGTAGAGTTTTGGACATTTAAGTGCTTTGCCCTAACTGACAGCCGGCATGCAGCAGACCAACAGCCTGGTCTCGTCTTTGTCTTGTCATCTGTGTGAATAAAGCTGCATTTTAAGGTGGCTTTTTATTCTCACTGGTCACTCATCTGTGTCCCGGTCACGCTGTCCTGTCACCAGTTGAACAGCTCAAAAACTTGTGCACAGCTGACTAAATTAAACCCTTTGCTAATAATAAAGCTGCTTTTTCATGATGCATCATTGTAGTTTTAGCTGCATATGACAATCTGAATCACTGGCTGAACCACAAATCACCTCCATTCAGCCACTGTTGGAACCACCTTAATGAAGACGCATAAATCCCCCTCAGGCTGCCTGTTGTTCCTGTGTTTTAGTGTATGAGCTTGTGACCTACAAATCCAACATCTAAAGAGTCTAAAGTAACAGAACCACAACACGATCAATAAATCACCATTTTTATTGCTCGGCTCTTTCAGCGTGTCCCAGTACCGTCAAGAGGCCCTTTCTCTGGCTAAAGGGAGCAACGCCCTGAAGGCAACCCTTTCAGAGCTGGAGTTCACCGTAGAGTGTCAATCCAAAGAGTTAGCAGCCTTACGTCTGGAGCAGAAAGGACTGAAGGAAGCGTCGGGACAAGCTTGCAGGGAGAAGGAACGACTTCTGCAGCGATGGATGGAGGAGAAGAGGGAGGAGGCGGAGAGGCTGAATAGGTTCAACGACACACAGGAAAGGTAAAAGAATAATAAAAACCCATCTCTGTGTGATGTACAAAAATATGAATTTAGTCACTTTTAATGACAACATTGGACACTTTAAGTTGCCTGCTTTTCATTAGGTTTCAACATCTGGCCAAGCGGCTGAAGAAGCACTTCCAGAGGAGAATGAAAAAAGAGCGTGCTCCCATAGCAGAAAAGTCTCCATCAGCCATCCACAGTAAGAATTAGCATTCTGTTCTCAATACTAATACATAATGCAGCAGGTTATTATCACCTCACCTTAGTGCTGCCTTACTAAGACCCTTCATCAAGACCATCCTTTTCACCCTCTTAATTAAAGACCTCTCGTCCACGAGGTCAAGACAACAAGAGTGTCTTAATGGTGAAATGCTAATATGACCACAAAGCGCTAATGGCACCGATGAAGGCCCATTTAGCCTTTATTAAATTAATAAATTAATATTCTAAATCAGCTCGAAGCCCAACACCAAAGTGAGCATCAAGTGAATCCCACACAGTATCAAGATATGTTGTCCTTAAAACTCTATTTTAGGCTGTGAAAACACATTAATTAGAGTTAAAACGGTCGTCCAGGTCGCCTATAGGTGTATCGATTCTGCAGTTTCATAGGAAGAGAAGCTGTGATTTATCTTGTGTGCTTCAACCTGATTGTAAGAAACAAGTCTGCTGCTGCTCTTGATCTCATGATCATTTATCTCAAAATGTTGGTTGAATATGATCTTAAAACCTGAGACATGGTGAGTGTTAAAGTACATTTAAATCGATTATACCTACATTTAACTACTTTTAGGCCAACAAAACATAAAGTACTAGACTTGGCTATTGACATGGGTGCCTACAGGACACCTTACACTGAGGAAAATGAACCATTTTTTCCATTTAACCAAACATTCAGTTCATGAGTATTAGTCAAGTAAATACTTGATAGCTGTAAAGATAAAGACCAAACTAAGACTTAGGCTCATAACTAGTAATTGTAGGTCAATTGCTAGATAGTTGATCACCAACTCTTTTGATTGGTTCAATTGTTTAAGTCATTTTTTAGTAAATAACTGAACTGTTCTTTGGTTGCAGCTTCTCCAATTTGAGCTTTTCCTGTATATTATAGCAAACTCAATTCAAAACTCTGACTCTTGCCCACAATGAGAACAGCTCCCTCTTACCTGAACCCTCTCATTCCGGTCTACACTCCCTCCTGCTCACTACGCTTGACCAACAAAAACTACCTGATACGACCACCACAACAGGCCCGAGGTCGATAACTGGACTCTTCTCCTCTGTGGTTCCCTGGTGGTGGAACGAGTGACCAAACTCAGTTCCCTCTCAGTCTTTAAGGAAAGACTAAAGACCCAGCTCTTCACTGAACACCTTTACACTTTACAGACTGGGAAAAAATTTAATAAAAATTCCTATGACCTCCCACACAGCCTGCTATTGGCATCATCGCCCTGTCACACTTGAACTTGTTCTGTGGCACTTTTCCATATTGTTTTCTCCTGACTAGATCCCTGCTTGTGTTGTATCTGCTCTCAGATGTACGTCGCTTTAGATAGAAGCAAATTAAATTGTAGAATTTTAAACTAAACATCTCAACTGTGACGTGCAGAATTTTTGTCTCCTCCTTCTGGTCGTGAGAGTAATTACACAAACACTGTTGATCCATGCTGTAAACAACCTTTTTTTTTTAGACTCTAGTTAGTCCTCACAACACAGAGTTTCTTTCTTTTTATTTGGAGCCGCCAAAACTTTTCTTGGATGCCTCATATATTTTTGCACCACAAGCCCCACTATACTCTTAGTTAATGTAGCTTACTCAGCCTCCATCTTTATGGTTTCTTCCCTCTTCATCACTAGAAAAACCAATAACTGCTGGTCGAGCACAGTAATATCACCACAGACACCAGAACCAGATGCGTTTAAATTTAACAGATGTCACCTAAAACTCGACAGCTTTTAAAGTGATTTTTCACAATTTGCTCGCATTTCAAAGCCCAAATAACCAAACAGTTCATCAACAGCCCTGTTCGGTGAACTTCAGCTTGATGTTTTATAGAAGGAATAGATGGTAGCCTCTTGAGCTGTGTGACGAATGTAACCGAAAACATGCAATCCACCCTTTTTATCATCCTGTCCTCAGGGATCAATAATGTAACCGATACTCACCAGGGACACTCGGGCTACAAGCATGTCTCAGCTGCAGCTAAAGTCTGATAATCCCGCGGGATCCTGGAGACAAAAGGCTTTCTTCTCTGTGGTCTCATCTCTTCCTCAGTGCTTGTAGATGAAGAAATAATTGCCCATATGTGAGCGGCAGAACAATGACCAAGGAGCGACTCTTAGAGCAAATACTATCTGTATCTCTTTTTTCATTTAACGAAAAATGTATTTAAAAAAATGTTTAAGTTAGATTTAGTGCCAAATTTTACATTTATTGCTATAATCTAAGTCATCCTTTCTCAAGTGTTTTGTTTTAAATTGAATAACGTGGAACCTTTCTGATGCTAACTTTTTACATATATTTTAAAATAACATTTGAATTGTACATAGTTCTTATTAAAATGTAAAAATCAAAGTTACACCCAGATAAATGTAAGCTATTGTAATTAAGTATGTACGATTTTGTTTTCCCTGCTTGTAAAAAAATAAAGAAACTTTTATTCCAATATTGTTTCTTTTACTTGAAATCCTTCTTTGTCATTTGTCGTCCATCAGAAAAAAACTTTTCTGATTCAAAGTAAAGATGTTATTGTTTTTTTAAATACTTACTTGTATTTCGGGTGTTTGTGTAGCTTGTTGACATTTCCCACATAATTTAACTTTGTACATTTAAATAATTAGCTGTGTTTAAATATTCAATTTGCCACATGACTTCAATTAGTGAAACAAATCACAAACGTATTAAATATTTGTTTTTTTTCGAATACTGATCTCCATGACAATCTGGGATCAGATTTCAGATTGTTAGTTTGCTGCACGTTGCCATGGTCACCAGTGTTTGTATTAGTTCCGTTGTACAGTGTTTGTGTGTTTGTGTTGGTGAAACCACTCAGTGGACTCAACCTCTGAAACTGTCAAAATGGTAAAAGGTGGAAAGAGATATTCTTCAATGAGCAACGATGGCAAATGGGTAAGAAATTCTTCACTTCATTACGTAATTAAATCATAACATCCAAACCTTTAATGTGTAATTAGCTTTTCTTTCATTCTCTTCTCAGTTTGCTCATCCAGTTTCACCAGAAAACGAGTTAAAGACTCGTGAGACTTGTACAAGCACTGGGATCATGCTGACTCAGGTTAAGTCCTCGTTGCCTCAGGCTTTAAACTTTGAGCGCTATCCTAAATGGAAAACTCAGCAGGTGTGTTTAAAGACAACACAACGCTTGCCTTGTCTGTTAGTTTTTCACATTATAGTCACTGCAAAGGCCTCGGAGGATGTCCTTACACTTTCTGTCAAAGCATTTCTGCAGAGAACACCCACTGATCTTAACTCATTTACTGCATTTGGTTGTATTTAGTTGTCCTGCAATTATGAATGTCTTGATGCGGTTGCTTTACAGACATCCAGAGAGTATCCATTCTCTGCTCATGACAACAAGCACGCCTTAAAAGACGACATCTCTGCCTTCTCTCAAGTGAGTGTACAGTAAGAAATGTAAAAGATGATTTACTGTCGAGACCCATCCTTTTCAAAGTAAACCATGTCTTCTTTGCATCATGTTGGTCTGCACCAGGGTGCAGGACTGGGACTGAGGAAGTGTCTTGATGATCGCAGTCAGCACATCTCCCACTTCTGCCTGTGCCATGTCAGAGCCAACAGCAGCACCGAGGACAGGAACCTCTCGGTGTACCGGGCTGACTTCACAGGGAAGGCGGCTGTTAATGTCCCAACCAGAGCCAGGCGGTTCCCTCGCAACCACAACCAGAAGTCTGCAGAGGCAGCTTTGGCACAGCCAGGGGGGCAGTTCATGTGGTTTGGACAAGTTGACTCTGACCCCTCAGAGACCCTGAAAGTCTTGGCTGCTTCCAACTGCGAAGCACCTTCCAAACCCCAAGACATTCCTACATTTAAAGCACAGAAGGAGTCATTGAGAGAACATAGCAGAGAAAGAATGCAGCGGCGATCGCATAAAGAACCAATACTGAATACCAACTTTTCTCTTCCTGGCGTGTAAGCTGTATTCCAGAAAAGGCAAATAGGGAGCCTTAAAAACAAAAATTAGTTCCACAACTACCCTAATTTGAGGGAAAGTTGGACAAGGTAATGTTCTAATACTGTAAAACTGGTGCATCTTATATACTTTATGCGCCCTTGTGCATTTAAGTGCATGTGAGGACGCTGTTTTAGGGCATTAAGTTGCATCTAAATACACTTTAACAAGACTTCCTGGTCAATATTATAGGTCAATCTGCATCTGCATTTACCCTATTGTAGCACAATAGCATTGTATGTTAGATAGCTTAAAATAAGTCTTCCTAGCATAATGCCTTTTCTTTTTAAGACTTCAAAAAGTCTAGCATTAGTACAAAAAGTGTACTTCAATGCACTTCATATTGCTAAATTTGAACAGTGCCCTGATTTATCCGTGCATTTTGGTAACAGTCATACTCTACTTCTTGCTTGTCATAACCTGGTGCCTTACTAACCCACAATGCACGGCTGGTAACACTTCAGTCAGATCTTCAGGTGAGCCGTTCCTGCAGCAGCCGTGCATGTATCGCGGAGACGAAGGCAGCAGCTAATGTTGCCTCGAGCAACGACGGGGAGGCAGGCTACAGATGTTTTGGTAGACTCACTTCTTTCAAACTCCACACCTCCAGATTTCTTTCATTTTCACACTTTAAGCCTTCAAGCGCCTGAAGTTCTGTCACCTGTCAGACTGTACAGTTCCTTCTTCTACATGTGCAGCAGCTTCTCATAACACGAGTGCACTTTAGTTTATACCGTACAATAAAAAGCACATGTTAGCACATTATTCTGAGTGTATGTAAGTAACGGCAGCATCTAAAACACAATTACGGGAGGTTTTGATTTAATTATGGCGCCCTGTGAAGTGTTGGTAGTTCAAGGTGACGCCAGCAGAGGGCAGCAGGTCTACATGAGTCACCATTTGGCCTGCTGAGCCGCTGAGTTGTTCGGCGGCCAAGTTGTGCGAGAAATGTAATAACCGAAAACCCCTGTGTAATGTGCACGCTCTGCGAGAGAAAACGTAGGGGGGGGGGGAAATAATTAGAAAAAGAATCCAGCTATTTTTATTCAATGCATATCAACATGAAGACATTAAATTAGAGCATGTGAAATAAATTAAGCTTGATTTGAGTCATAATGCATGGGTTTGTTTCACCCCTGGGGATGAAAGGGATGGATATGTGTGTGTGTGTGTGTGTGTGTGTAGCCCATACAAGAGAAGAAGAAGAAGAGGAGGAGGAGGAAGCGTGGGAGCGAATGACAGAGAACACTGCTCAGAGAAAAGCACTTAAGTGAAGAGTATCCCCGACCACTCTCTCCAATAGCTGGTGTTTTCTCGGGAGTATGTTCTGACCAGCTGCTTTCTTTCTTTAAGTACTCGCCGGGGAGATGGGTTTTTCTCACAAGCTTTTCTTTCAGCTGTTGTAATTAGCTGATCCACATACAGCGCCGACCTTGTCGGAGTTTATTTCACTCTTAAAAGGTGACTTAGATCTCACAGTTCTTGCTTCTTCTTCTTTTAATAATGAAAGACAAGAAAGCTGTGAGACATCCAAACGGAACTTTTTGTGATTTCACTTTTAGATGATCTTACACACTCACGCCGCTGCCAAACAAACTGATCCCTTGTTGCAGGTGCACAATGTCGAGGGCCGTACCTCTGATGGCTCTATTTCACCCCCACTTTCGCTGTAAAACTCAAACAGAAGCCTGCTGTAAATTGCTCTTTAACACTGTTGGCAGTCGGGCCTCACCTAAATTAGCCTAAAACACCTTTTAAAGAGCAGAAGCGGTGCTGACGAGAGGAGAATAAGTGCATATTAATGCGAAACACCTGTGCTCGTGTTTGACAGTTGGTTCTGTCTGGTCTCGACTGGTTGTCTGACACCTCTGTCCCCTGTGGGTGCAAATTCGCAGACTACACTTTCCTTTGGACTCGCCACAACTCGAGCAACTCCTCCGCACTGAAGCCACCAACACTTCATAATCAGAAACTCTCATTAGCTCCGTCAAGGCTTCTAATACTTGACAGAGGAGTGCGAATTCTTGCTGGAAAAAAAAAAAAAAAAGCGTATCAATCACCAGTCGGCGCCCGCCGCCCGCCCGCCCGTGCCTGCTGTATGTGCCATGTTCGGCGAGATATGTGTGTGTTATATCGTGTAGAGGCAAGACCGCAAGTATATGTAAATACAGTTGCCTGGTGGAATATCAAACCTTCTCCCAAGGACAAAAGACACATCTCAGTAAACAAGCATTCAACCACCAAAGCCTTGCACTTCATGAATATTAAATCAGACACTTTGAATCCTCCCTCTTTGGTGTTAGGAGGCCCTAGTCTGGATTCTTACCATTTGCTGTGATTTATTCGCAGGTGCATGTGTCTCTTTGATGTGTTGAGTTGAGAGGTTTTGCACCTGTTAGAGAAAAAAAAAAAATGCTTTGAAAACAAGAGGTGGATTTGCCAGACAGTCAAAATAACAGCAACAGAGGAAGAAAGATTTGTGTTGCCATGGTACATTGTGTGTATGTGTGTGTGTGTTTTCTTTTCACACAAAAAAAAGGGCTGCTGTGGTGTTTTGACATATTCTGTTGTGTGCAGCAAAAATACTTTTTGTCAAACAAAATTACCTTCTTTTTTTTTTGGTTTTTGTCTCGTGTCAGCTTTGGCATCTGTTCTGACATTATGAAGTTGCGCATTTTGTCCATTACCTATTCATTAAAGATGGGTGACTTGAAAGAGAGTTGCTATGGAGATGCTGCAGTTAAATCACATATTCAAAGATTTTTTTTCTTTCTGTTTATTCTTTTGCCAATTATAACTAATGACTCGCGTCTTTGGTTTCGGTGTATATTTTTTTTTTGCTCCTCTTCTATCTTATATCTTTTTTTAATGAGACGTCAAGGCTCGCGGTATGAATTTTTTTCCTCACGTCTCGTTCAAACATCCAGCATCCCGTCCAAACTGCGACTCTAAACGCCGTTGGAGTTGACTCGGGTGGCTGGGTTAAACTACGCCAAACTGGAAGACTCCTTCCAATCTCCTGTCAGTCATTCCACTTGCAGTACTTCCAATTCCCTGGCAGCCTCTCTCTCTTTTTTTTTTTTTTCTCCTCCAGCAGCCAGTTTGGTTTGTGTCCCCTGGCAGCCAGTGGTCCTTGTTGCAGTAATGGTTAGGGGCCCTCCAGAGTCTGAGGGTGGTGATAAAGGTGGCTGGCTATCTCATTTCCACAGAGGACCAGATAACATCCTGAGAACATTCCCATCACTGGAGGAGTTTGTTCAGTCGAGATAAGAGTTCCCCCCCTGCTAAAAGAAGCTCTGCGGGTGTGTATTTACGTGTCTCTTTTTTTTTTGTACATGTGTGTTTAAATGGAATACTTTGGGCTGTGCTAGCTGCAGTCCTGTCCGTGTTCGCGGCTGCGAGGGCCGCCGGCCCGGCGCAGAGCAGCTCCGTGGACACACCGCCTCGAAACATCAGACCTACCCTCGCACTAAATCGCATTCCTCCATGTATTTTTCAAACCTCCGACACAGTTTGCATGCTAATTCGTGTGTAGGTGGTGAGAATAATTACATTAGGCTGGTTGTAAACAAAGGCCTACAAGCTGCAGTCTGTTCAAGTATCCCACCCGAGAGAGAACAAGAGGAACACTTTGCACGATGGATGGATGGATTCGTAATGCATAGTTTATATGAAGAAAATTAGATGGCTGTCGAGATTAAATAAAACGATTGGCTTCGTGTGTGTCTTTAGTCGTTCAATGCGGCGTTTTTCAGGCAGAATCCGTGTTTCGGTTCCTTGATCTTGTTATACAGCGTGTTGAGAGAAAGGGGGCAACAATGCAGAGACAAGAACGGACACTTCTCTGCTCACTTTTACAGCTCGAACAGCCCGGATTGCCACATGTGTTCAATGTTACCAAGTGTTTCATCACTACTTAAGAAGCTCCACCTCTCAGTTCCTTCCCCACTGCTGCTTCATAACCGCATCATCACAGCATTTTAATCTCATTAGGTAAAACGCACAAGTCGACTCCGATTTACAGATGGGGAGTCGGACCACACACCCCACAGAGTCTGCTTCTTTACGCTGTCTGTCGTAGTTGGAAATTTCAGGAATCCGATGAAGAAATTATGTCAACGAGTTTAGTTATTTTACACAGTCCTCTAATTGGAAGAGACGAGAGCAGCTAAAACAAAGTGGCATTTAGCTTAAATTCAGTTTTCTCCACATTGTATATGCAGGCTGCCGTTATTTTAGGATTGTATAACTTTCAGCTCAATTACATACCATTTCGACATTTTACGAGGTCAGATTGGAAACGTCTCACATAAACATTCTAACGCGCGATTCTATTTCCTGCTCGAGGAGGAAGCGAAATCAGCCAGAGACCTCAAAAGTCTAATTAACTATTTTCACACTTGTTCTCCAGTCAAATGGGTAAATCTGCCTCATTTGCATTCTATTTGAGGTATAAATACAAGGCAATGAAGACATCCCTATGTCTTTTAAAGTCAGCTCAGAATGTGATGGAAGCCTTAATGCAGCGGAATTATAATTAGACGTGAGTGCAGCCGGAGTGTATTATGAGGTTTTGTTTGAATCATATTGTGCCATCTCAAAAGCAAAAAGGCATTCTGCTGCCGCCGCCGCCGCCGCTGCACAGTATGTGCACTTAGTGGAGGAGGAACATACAGTACAATAGCACACTCTTAAGAATCTGACATTATTATCAGATGTAAATTACACTCCCATGAGCTGCTCATTACAATATCCCATATGTAGAGTGTGTCATAAGTTGTTAAATTCTCTATTTAACACGATCCCCCCCCCTCTTTTCTTAGCTGTGGATAATCATACGTCCTCTGGTAGTGATGTTAAAGTTAAATTAGCTGCACTTCCCTCCTCATGAGGAGGAGGAAAGATGTGAAAATGTCACATTAAAATCATAAATGATGTCCCTACAGAGGTAGCTGCTTTATCCA